ACTGAATGAGGTCAGAGACCATATAACCTTGTTTTTACCACTCCATCCACAAGGCCTGGGGCATAACAGTGCCTAGTAAATATGCAGCATTTGGTAAATATTGTGTTAATAAGCCTAAACCAAGTCCCATAAAAGAAACAAGCAGAGACATAAAAGAGGAAGATGTTTCAAGGCAGAGGACATGCTTCAAAGAGCTCCTACCTGCTTAAAATTCAAAATTAATTAGAACACATAGAAGTACTTTTAAATTATATAACCAATTTAGCCCTAGCTAGTTTTGCTGTAGTTAAGAGAGTCAGCCCGCAGACTGAAGGGTCTCAGGTTCAATTCCAGTCAAGGGCACATGCCTAGGTTGCAGACTAGATGCCCGAAGGCAACTAATCAACCAGTGTGTCTCTTTCACATCCATGTTTCTCTGTCTGTCTCTACCCCTCCCTTCCACTCTCTCTAAAAAGCAATGGGATAAAAAATATCTTCAGGTGAGGATTAATTTTAAAAATATACGTATAACCAATTTATCGATGCTTGCTTAACATCACGGACTTATTTTTCAGTACATTAAGAAGTAAAACCTTGTTCTGGCATACATTGGGAGATTAGTGTTAAGAAGGAAATATACATGTAAAGTTCTAAACAGCACAAGTATACATCATGCTCCTAACACTTCCCTTCCAGGTACATCTCATACTAAATAACACTAGCGATTACTAATCAATTACTAATCTTTTCTAACTGAAACACAAACTCTGCATTAGCAACATAAGACACTGAATGATTTCAGATGGGAAAACGTATAATTTCAAGATAAATAAGCAAATTCCTATCAAATGATCCCTTGACAGTTATTCAACTCCCATTTAATCTGTTAGCAAATACTGTTTAACTCATAAAAATCTTCAAGTTACACAAAAATCTTACTTATCCATATATATCATGGACACAATATGTCAATTTACCCATAATGACTTTTTACCAAGACATAAAGCTATGAAAGGAAAGCAAAAAAACAGGTATTAAATAAATGCATAATCTATAATAATAAAAGCGTAATATGAAAATCAACCTTACAGCGGAACAGCTGAACGACGGTTCGTACAACCTTCAGTACAAAGCCAGGGCTGCAAGGGCCTACTCTTGCACGAATTTCATGCATCGGGCCTCTAGTATTTTTATAACCTTCTATCATTTACCTAGTAGTATTCAATAAAATAAGAATAAATTATTTGACATCTTTTGTCAATATTTAAATACTAGCTCTACTGAATAATGCCAAATTTGACATGAAGAATCGTTCCAGTGAAGTAAAGGTTCTGGTGAACAAAAATATCCAATTCAGTAAGTGAAAATTAGATAAAAATTACATGCTATGATTATAAAGTCTGCTATGTATGGGCTGCTACTTTCAATTCAATTCCCAGTACAATATTTAAAGTATTACATGAAGGGTCTTTCCTTGAGTAACAAGGAATAGAGAAGAGAATAGTATCACTAAGAAAACAATTCTGTAATCCTAAACAATGATCCAACTATAAGAGATACCTTTGGCCACACAATTTTTTATTTCAGCAATATACAGATATATGAAAACTTAATACCTCCTTCATATGAAAAACATAGTCACTTAGCATCACCTTTCCACTTCTAATGTTAAAACAGATTTTTTAAGAGGCTAGTCCTATTGTTGTCATATTCTAATGAAAAGCAGCTGGGGGAAGCCAATACAAAATCCTTTATAAAGATGTTGGGATATTATAGAACAAGAACAGAATAATCCATAATTAAATAGTGACATCATGTCTTAAAGCTCAAAATACTGTGGTTACAGTGGCCAGTGAAACAGTTGCAGCTATCAATTATAAGCATTAGAGACCTACTGGTAAAGTAGTAGATCCAGGGTATTGTTTACAATCTATAATAAAAGTGTAATATGCTAATTAGACCAGACAGCCGAACAACCTTCCGGACAAAGCCAGGGGTGCAAGGGCCAAGCCCCTTGCATGAATTTCATGCATCCGGCCTCTAGTCCTATTATAAAGGCTAAACATTTCTTAATTTACATAAAATCCCTCCATAAATCATTAGAACATGTAAATCAGGACAGATGCAACAAAAGGCTGCCTACAAAATCTAATACATTAATTTATTCAAAACTTGCATCATACAAAATCTTGCATTTCTAAAAGATTCATCTCTGATGGAGTAAATGGGTTTCTAGGAGAATAAACAGGATACTTTTTCATAATGTTTTTTAAAATATATTTTTATTGATTTCAGAGAGGAAGGGAGAGGGAGAGAGAATCATTGATCAGCTGCCTCCTGCACACCCCACACTGGGGATAGAGCCTGCAACCCGGGCATGTGCCCTGACCGGGAATCAAACCGTGACCTCCTGGTTCATAGGTCAGTGCTCAACTACTGACCCACACCAGCCGGGCTGAAAGTTTTTCATAAGATTTTTTATGCAGATGTGATCTTATCCATATTTTTTCTTCATGGCCATGAAATTTCCCTGGAGAGGAGATTCATAGCAGCCCCACTCCCAAAAGTTTTGCTTTTTGAAAGATAAGGGAAACTCCAAGGCGGCTTCTTTCTGCATCTGTTGACCAGGACCCTGAAAGAGCACACCTGGAAACTGATGCATATACTATTAAGACCCTCCCCTGAGACCTTCCCTAAACTTTCCATCAGCAAGCAAGAGATAAATCCGCTCATTGTGCTGCTCTCCCTCCAAGCAGCACTCTGGTGCCCTTCCCTTTTCCCTTACCCCACAGGCACATATCCCCAGACCCCTAAGGAACCCCACCAGGGGAACAATGGGCAGCAACAGCTTGTCCCAGCTAACTCCCTGAACCTGTCTCCAAGGCCCCCTTTGGGTATTCCCATCTCCCATCCCCTTTTCCTTAAATAAATTTTTCTTTAAGCGCCATCTGAGATGGCTATTTAGCCTGCCTGCGCACCACCGACTTGAACCTTTCATATGTGAGGCAAAAGCTGACAGAACTGAATCCACAATTGGGATATTAGCACTCTTCTTTCAGTAACTGACAAAACAACAAGTAGGTAAATATATAAGATACTTTAATAATTCCTATCAACCAGTAATTGATATCTACCTGCAGGATACATATTCTTTTGAAGGACACATAAAATATTCACCATGATATGCATCACTGCAAAAGAAATCTCAAAGTAAAAAATTTGAAATCCCAGCCAGGTTGCTCAGTTGGTTGGAGCACCATCCTATACACCAAAAAGGTGGCAGGTTCAATTCCCAGTGAGGGCACATACCTAGGTTATGGGTTCAATCCCTGGTCAGAGCAAGTACAGGAGGCAACCATCAATGTTTTTCACATCGATGTTGCTCTCTTTCCCCCTCTCTGCCCCTTCTCTCCCCCATCACCGCTTCCTTTCTCTCTTTAAAAAAAAAAAATCACTAACAAGATATCTAAAACCCTAAATATTTGTTAATCAAAGCAACATACTTCTAAATAACCCAAAGCTAAAAAAGACAATCAAAATTAGAAAATATTTTGTACTTAATGGTAGTACATAATGTGTCAATTTGAGGGATGCAGTTAAAGCAATGCTTATACGAAAATTTCGGTATCTGTACAGAAAAAGATGAACCTCAACCCTTACCTCGTTCATTAAACAGAGTGTTTCACAGACCTAAATGTAAAACACAGTACTATGAAACTTCCAAAAAAATTTTAAGAAAATATCAGTGAGCTTGGTTTAGAGAAGATTCTTTACATAGAATATAAAAAACATTAACTACAAAATAAAAAACAAATCAGTAACTTAGACTTCATAAAAATTCAATTTTCAATCTTTGAAAGATACGTCAAGAAAATGAAAAGGCAAATCACAAACTACAAAAACATATTTGTAAAACATGTGATTTACAAAACCTGTGATAAAGAACTCATATCCAGAATATAAAAAGCACTCATGCAATGGTAAACAAAAAACAAATTTTTAATAGGCAAAAAATGTGAAAAGACACCTCACCAAAAAAGATAAATGAATGGCAATAAGCACATCAAAAGATAATCATCGTTAATCACCTGGAAATCACAAAATAATATCATGCTAGCGTAATACTACAGGCCCACAAGAATAGCTAAAGTTAATAAAGACCTACGACACCAAGTTTACCAAGTATGCGGAGCTCCTGGAATTCTCATCCATTGCTGATGGGAATGTAAAATGGTATAGCCACTTTGAAAAATACTTCGGCAGTTTTTCATAGTTGCAAGCACGCATTTACTATACAAACCTGCAATTTCCACTCCTAAGTATTTAACCAAGAGAAATGAAAACACATGCCCATACAAAGACCTGTATACATTCATAGGACCTTTATTCATAACAGCTACTAACTAGTAATTAAAGAGGACAATTTACTACTTTTTTAAAATATATTTTTATTAATTTCGGAGAGGAAGGGAGAGGGAGAGAGAGAAACATCAATGATGAGAGAGAATCACTGACTGGCTGTCTCCCGCACGCCGCGTACTAGGGATTGAGCCTACAACCCGGGCATGTGCCCTTGACCAGAATCGAACCCAGGACCTTTCAGTCCGTAGGCTGATGCTCTATCCACTGAGCTAAACGGGCTAGGGCTGGGGCTGGAATATTTTTAAATTCATGTACACATTAATCCCATTCATCAAAGACTTCCAAAACAACAATCCTGAAAGTTTGAGTACTCATTTTTTATTCTCACTTAATGTGTTATACTCAAGTAATTAGGGTCAAATAATAAGGGAGATTTTGTAAGACAACATAATGCCAAGACCTTAAGCAAGACAAGAAAGCTGCTCCTAATACCTTATTCACCACATCAACCTTAACCTCAGCCTAAAGAAAACAAATTAAGACTTTTCTTCATCTCTATCACTAACTGATTTCTCAGGAGTCCATCTAATCCATATGTAGACAATTCATGGAACCTACAATTATTCGTGGCTCAATAAAGCTTACCATATATATCTCACCTCTTTACTTCCTCTTCTCTGTTCTACTTTTCACTCAGTTTTCCTCCTCCCTATTTCTAATCCTTTTATAAGGTCACCACAGGTTCACTGTCAGAATATAAAGAGGATATTTATGACTAATCAGTGAAATTATGACTACAATATGACTTTATTTCTTTGCCCTTCTACTGATTTGTGGTGATCATCTCTTTAAAGGAAACTTCTACACTGTATAGGTATAAATGGTTAGAAAAGAATATTGATCCATCCTTTACCTATCAAAAACACTTTTCCCTTTAAGCCAGCGGTTCTCAACCTGTGGGTCGTCCCTTTGGGGGTCAAACCACCCTTTCACAGGGGTCGCCTAAGACCATCGGAAAACACATATATAATTACATATTGTTTTTGTGATTAGTCACTATGCTTTAATTATGTTCAATTTGTAACAATGAAAATACATCCTGCATATCAGATATTTACATGATGATTCATAATAGTAGCAACATTACAGTGATGAAGTAGCAACGAAAATAATTTTATGGTTGGGGATCACCACAACATGAGGAACTGTATTAAAGGGTCGCGGCATTAGGAAGGTTGAGAACCACTGCTTTAAGCCAAGACCATTGAAAATGGAAGATACTTCATTTTCACTCCACTGATTCTGAAGATTAATTCATATATGAAGTAAGTTCACCTATGTGTATTAAATGTTTATCCTGAGATTAAAGTTCAAGCTTTCTTTAAATACTTAGAAAGTCAGTGTAGAAACAATAATAGGTAATAGCATTAGATATGTCAGAATTCTCAATTGTAAGTGAAAGAAACCCAAGCTAACTTAAAATCAGAACCGACTTGCTCACAGGAGGATACTGAGGTGGGACACAGAAACAAAGAATGAACCTCAGGCAGTCGGGCCTCAAAGGCTCAGTGCTACCGGATCCGTCTCTGTATCTCACGCTTCTCTTACTCACTGGCCTCATTCTCTCCCACTGTACAGACCGCCCGACTCCTGCTAGAGGCAGTCCCAGCTTCACCAACCCAGAAGAAAACGGACAGTCTGCTCCTGTAGTCTGTGTACCAATATCAGAGAAGAACACCTACTGGCCCTTTTTGTTAAATGCCAATTAGTACTATAAGTGGGATAGGTACAAAATTGGCCAGGCCTGGTACACATGTTTAATAACCCTTAAGTAACCAGAAAATGAGGAATGAGAAATCATGATGAATAAATTACAATTTACTTGCCACTATCTATAAGTTAATTTATTTCGATTCCATGAATTAAATGCAAGGACCTCAAAAACAAATAAAACCCAGTGAATACTCTATTCCTTCCGCTAGAACTATAAATTACATGTGGGGAGTTCCTAATGTTCAAAAAGATCTGGTTTAAGGATACAATGAGAAATTAATAATCCTCCAGATATCATTCAAAATGTAAAAAATAAGAAAAGCTAACCTCTGGCACTGAACCACTGACCTAAAATTGCAGGACTTTTCTAAACTCACAGGGGAAAAAGGAATAGGTCAATTTAGTGGGCGTGTATAAAGAGTAGTTTAGCAAGAAACAGAGCAATCTCATTTTAAAAACTCACTCAGTAATGGCACAAATCTGAAACTAAAGAATAAAATGAAACTTGTTGGTGGATATAAAATCACCATTGCAATGGCTGAGATTCATGCAGCACACAAGAAGCTAAATATCTCTGGAGAAAAGTGTCCTTCTTTAAAAGACTTTTTTCTTCTTTAAGGAATCTGAAATTTCCTACCATATCTAAGTTTTAAATTACTTTGTTTCAGGGCTAATCATTTCAAAACAATTGAGTGTTACAAATCAAACCCAGCAACCACAAGTCCTTGCTGATCCACCACTCAGTTTAACGATGCAGTTTGCTACCAACTAGTTTTTATCTTTTCAGTACTTCCAGTCCCATGCAAGCTGTTTCTGTTCTACATAACTGCATGTACACTCAGAATGCAATTCAAACAACTGATCTAAATTTAATACTACCTGGGTACCCGATAAGACATAGAAAAAGGCTCACTTTCCACTAATTTCTTGTTGAGCATTGCCCCATGCACCAGGAGGCCATGGAAGCTCAATTCCCAGTCAGATTACATACTCAGGTTGCAGTCTCAATCCCCAGTAAGGGGTGTGCAAGGCAATCAGATGATGTTCTCTCATCATTGATATTTCTCTCTCTCTGAAATTAAATATTTTTTTTAAAGAAATACACTTTTAACTTTTGAGAGGCACATTCTGGAGAAAGCTCATATTAAATGACAGCACTTTGAAAACTAACTTTTCATTCCTAAATATTATGCTTGAAAGACTATAGCAAATAGCTAAAAGCATCTCCCACGATATTCAATAGGAAAGGACTATCATGTTCAACAACTTTTACTGAGAAATAGAACGTACAATAAAAAAAATGGGTCACTTCATCCCTGTGGCATATTCACTTAGTTTTATCTATGAAAAATACTTTTAGATTATTCAAGTGTTTTCTTATCTGAGACAACCTTCAACAATATGAAAAGGGCAAACTATTTCTACACAGAGTGAACATTAAGTGATCTTTGGTAGTGATTATAAAAGATTAATCTGCCACCTAGGAAAACTTAAGGCTATGAAATGGAATTTAGAAATGGAACGGCAATCACTCTAATCCACAAAAACAGAGTTAATACTTCTTATTTCACAGTTCTGAAGCCAGGCCCACCTTTGTATAATTTTTACTCCTGAAATGTGCAATGCGAGTAGGCAAAGGGTCTGTTCTTCAAAATTGAACTGATTCTGGACTTGCTTTGGTTTTTCTGGTTTGTTCAAGTAGGAAACAGTAGCTACAGTGTCTGACATGAACTTGATACTTGTGCTTACTACTGAGCTAAGTATATTCCCTGAGCTCTAGAAAACTGATACAGCATTGAGCTTCTTGAGTTAACCCTTAGTCACTACAAGACTATTCTCATTCAGGCCCAACAAGGAAACAGCACTGCAGCCCCACAAAAATAACCACTATTCTAAACCCTCACCTTGTTTCCCATCCCCAAGTTTTACAAGAGTGATTAAGGGGAAAAAACCACCAACCTTAGTTGCATACTAGTATGGAAGTCTTCCTACCATTATTCCCAGGAGGTACTGCAAGATCTCATCTTGATTTCTTGGCTGCCTTTCACTTGATGTAATCATAGCATGAAGCTTTGAAATAGGACCCTGGGATAGACCATTCCCTTCAAAGCGTCTATCATTACTCCTTGGTGAGTCAGCTTCTGGACTGCTGCCAATGTGCTTTTTGTTGAGTTTATCATGGAACCATATTTTCTGTAGAGTTGAAATGATGGCCAAAACGCTGCATTTCAAAAGAGTCCCTCAACGTGTTTATCAAAGCCACTCACATGCTTTAGTGAAAGAAGGGGTTTTACGTAGTATCATGTTAAAAGATTCTCTTATGTTCAAGTGTCCAAAAAAGTCCGGTAAAAATCTTCTGATAATTTTGCTTAAGTAGAGAGTTTATGCTAATATGTACATTTAAAAGCTTTTTATTATGCCCTTAAGGAAGGAAAAGTTACTTTTCTGTATCAGGTAAATGAATTGAAGAATTTTGAAGTTAACAAAAACATAAGATATCCAAGAATTCTCTGAAGCTACATGGAATATCTCTGAAGGGAAAAATATGTTCTACTGTACCTTTTTAGAGGAGCCCACTAATAAAAATTTTTTCAACTCTTAGTTTTGAGAAGGTAAAACACTGTTGGGAATGGAGAAGGGGCATGTGCAGTACAATTAAAGTAGTTCCACCGAGCAGGAAGGGGAAAAGCTCCTAATAAAATAAAATAATGGACAGTAATAATGCTCTTAGAGTATACAAAGTAAAAATAAGTATTCATGTGTGGTATTATTCTCTTTAGAAGACACCAAAGTTGTTCCTATAAACTTTAAGACTGACAGGAGAGCAAATGTTCAAGATGAATCTGGACTTTGAGATGCTGAAAACGCGTTTCAGGTTGGAGAGGAGAAGGATATAGAATGACTTAAAAAAGTAACATACAGATTACAGTTAAAGAAATCTATCATCATTAAAATATGCTCATGTATGTTCTTAGTGTATAAATTTAAAGCATACACCAAAAACGCATTAAAGTTGCTTTAATACCCAAAGAGGAAAAGGTGTAAGTATGCAAAAACACTGAATATATAAAATATATAATTATACTGAGCAGCTATTATATTAAAGGGAAGGTATTACCTAACAAGTAAATTCAAACAAGTTGCATTTAATTTAGAATGCCAAGAATACCTTATCCACACACAAGATCCAAGCACCAAATGGCATAATCCTCTAATTTGTAATTCAGAATTCCCCAACTCTTAAGAGTTATACACATGGTAAAAAAGAGCTCAAGAAGTATTCAATAATCTATGAATCTCCATTACTTATAAGATATGCGCTGGTAAGTTTCTCTATTATTCTGTGTAACCACTAAAAATGGAAAATGTATAAGCTTCTTACTGCTTATGTAACAAATAGCTCTAAGAACCATATGTAAGAGACAGCAACAACCTGGTGTTGTTTAAATCTTGGTACAGAGTAAGTCTCCCATACACCATCTGTGATGGCGATTTAAAAATTTACCTCCAGCACTGATCCTCCTTTCTCTGCCTTGCCCTAAAAGCTCCAACTGTCTAACATATTTGTACTTAGATGTCCAATTGCTTACATGTTTAAAAGCAACAGACACCCACACGCACGCACACACACACATGCATGCACGCGCGCACAAACACTTGCCATCTTTCTGCCAAAATCCAAATCCCCTCGCATTTACCTTATTTCAACTCTAACACTAACCCCTGTGGGAAGAGGCAAGTGTTGCTACTGTGTTGTTATCACTCCAGTAACAGTAGCAAAAACTGCAACTAGTATACTAGTACATGGAGTGTTGACTAATGGCTAGCCTAGCTACTATGATAAGCACTTGGTGAATCCCCACAAAAGCCCCAAGAGGTAGATATTGTTATCCCCATTTTAAAGCTGAGAAATCTGAGGCACAGAGAAATTCAACAATTTGCCTAAGATCACAGGTAGGTATCATACTAGTGG